GTAAATGTTTGTGTTATATCGCTTGCTTACAGTATACGACGATCACGCTGCAGGTGAAGCCTGTCTGAATGTGTGGAGTATCATTCATTCACTAGACACTTACCAGTCGAGTATGTAAAAATGCGGCTTTACTCCCAGTTTAAAGTTTTTTTGTTTTTTTTTTTGTTATAAAAAATAATGAAAGACGCCACTACACTCCTTTTTCCTCGGTCGTGTGCTCGGTCTTTCATGTATTCTGAGAATGCTTTTACAAGGCTGCGGAAAAGGCTGCCTCGAAGCCTTACACATCGTGTTTTTGTTGTTGTTTAGTTTAGGGAGGCACAGAAATTTTGTTTATTATTGTTTGTTTTTTCTCCGCCCGCTGCAGCTAGTCATTTTTTCCAACTTTTGTTCAACTGCTGTATGATTATATGTTTATTTTGCACTACATCTTTATATGTCATATACACGTAACTTATTCAATTACAATAAAAATAGGAATTAATAAGAACTTCCTAATCCCTTCACGCATACATACCCAACTACTTGGATAAGTCCCTCACCACTTCCGCACTCACCCTCGGCGGTGACTGTGTGACCCGCCGGTTCCGACGCTTATGCAGGACGGGAAAGGAATAAAGGCACGTGTTGAGGACACAGCACAGGATAAATAGGTCTATATATATATATATACATATAAATATATATATATATATATATATATATATATATATATATATATATATATATATATATATAATACATATATATATATATATATATAATACATATATATATATATATATATATATATATATATATATATATATATATATATATATATATATATAATACATATATATATATATATATATATATATATATATATATATATATATATATATATACATATATATATATATATATATATATATATATATATATATATATATATATATATATACATATATATATATATATATATATATATATATATATATATATATATATATATATATATATAATACATATATATGTAATACATATATATATATATAATACTATATATATATAATACATATATATATATATATATATATATATATATATATATATATATATATATATATATATATATATAATACATATATATATATATACATATATATATATATATATATATATATATATATATATATATATATATATATATATATAATACATATATATATATATATATATATATATATATATATATATATATATATATATATATATATATATATATATATATATATACATATATATATATATATATATATATATATATATATATATATATATATATATATATATATATATATAATACATATATATATAATACATATATATATATGATACATATATATATAATACATATATATATATATATATATATATATATATATATATATATATATATATATATATATATATAATACATATATATATATATATATATATATAATACATATATATATATATATATAATACATACATATATATATATATATATATGTGTATATATATATATATGATACATATATATAATACATATATATAATATATACATATAATATATACATCTCTCTATCTATCTCTCTATCTATCTATCTTACTGTATATATATATATATATATATATATATATATATATATATATATATATATATATATATATATATATATATATTATATACACACATTTCCCATGGATGTACAGGAATGAAATGTCATAGAATTATCAGTCTTTCCCTACAAAGGTCCCACCAAGAGTGACACACTTCTCCTCTCCTTTAATGCAGCTGTGGACCTCAGAAATCAGTCTCATCGTAGAATGTTTGCACTTCAAATGTGACTTCTTGGACAGAAAGAGGTGAAAGTCAGATGGTGCAAGATCAGAAGACTAAAGAGGATGAGGAAGGATGTAGCCACAGGACCGCACTCATCCAGATGGGGAAAGTGACGCGTGAACAGGGGTGTTGCAGGGGGCGGACACCTTTGGTCAATATTCTGCACCTCTTGGTTTTGACAGCCTCCTGCAATTTCTGTAGTAGTGAAGCGTAGTAAGCTCCTATAATTGTAGTACCTTTTGACAGGAAATCCATCATCACTACTCCATGCGCGGCACAAAAGACTGTGAGCATGACCTTGCCTGCCGAGGGTGTGACGTATGCGTTTTTGGGGTGGTGAATCAAAGTGTTTCGACTGGGCCTTAATGTCTGGATCATTGTGTTGGACCTAAGTTTCATCCTAAGTAATTACCCTGTCAAAAAGTCCTCCTGGCTTTCTTGGCACATGGCTAAAAGAGCCTTGAAACAGTGGACTCGTTCCTGCTTCTGAAAAGGTGTGAGGAGCCCAGGAACCCATCGAGCAGACTTTTGCATATGCAGATGCTCATGAATGATTTGTCCACAGACCCAGCACTAATCTTGACATCTTGGGCTAGCTGACGAACAGTAATCGGCGATCTTCCAAAATGGTAGTCACCACTTGGTGTCTTCACCAATGGCATCCTGGGGTCGCCCTGGGATAGGAGCCGTTTCCACAGATCTCCGACAACACCTAAATGGCGATGCCAATGTTTAACATTGCTGGGACATACTCCCTATAAATTGCTCTCATTTCATCGAAGGTGTGTGGCCATTCATGTATAAAAACCTGATCACTGCTTAATATCCCACTGGGATATTGAGCATTTTCACACTTTACTTCACCTTCACAGAAGATACGTTATAAGTAGAGGTCTGATAATCAGCACAAGACATATGGAAATGTCTATTATTATGCATGTGAAATTTCAGCCTCCTAGGATAAGTGGGTCAGGAAAAATCTTTAATGAGTGCCCCTCACACACACGCATATATATATATGTGTGTGTGTGTGTGTGTGTGAGATTTTTCCTGACCCACTTATTCTAGGAGGCTGAAATTTCACAAGCATAATAATAGACATTTCTATATATATAAATCGTATGTGTGTATGCGTAGCTCAAAAGACAATTATTATTATCTAAATCACACATTCGATTATTCCATTCCTAAATAAACTTGTTGAACAATCATGATTTTGTAGTTTTCTCTGTCAGTTCACAGATTTAAGTCAGCTGCCATTGTTTACCTGTTCTGCGCAGTGCACTTCCGGTTTTCTGTTCATGCATTTCCGCTGACTGGCTAGTTTTGAATTGGCCATTCATTCACAGGCAGGCCGTTGTGGGTGTTGCATGTGTGTGATCCAAAGTATGAAAAATAACAAAAATAAATATATATATATATATATATATATATATATATATATATATATATATATATACATATATAGATAGACAGATAGATATTTATATATATACATATGTATGTATGTGTATATATATATATATATATATATATATATATATATATATATATATATATATGTATATATATATTCATATATATGTATGAGTGTCTATATATGTGTGTGTACATATATATGTATATATATATATATATATATATATATATATATATATATATATATATATATATATATGAGCACATATTTAATACTCATACATCATCACTATATGTTGATGATTTAACCATCTATGCCTCTGGCACATCCATACCATACCCTCACTAAACTAACTATCCCACAATCCCTACTTCCTACCTTAGCTTCATCTCCACGCTTACCTACTCCTTTCTCCACTCGCATGGATACCCTCCTCTCCCATTCCCCTTTCCCCCATCTCCAACCTCTCCCGTTCTCTGTCCATTCCGTCCCTCCATGGCTTATACCTCACCCCCATATTTGCTCTTCTGTTTTCCCCGACCCACCAAAATCAAATATTCCTCCTACTGTCCTTCTCATCCATTTCCTTGACCATGTCTCCACCCATTCCTCTAGTATACACGTATATACTGATGGCTCCAAATCCACCTCTGGTGCTGGTTTTGCAGTAATATTCCCAACTCGTACTTTCAAATACTCCCTTCCTCCAGAATCCAGTGTCCTTACTACAGAACTGTATGCACTCCTTTTTGCCCTAAAACACATATACTCACTCTCCTCTTCCTCTTTTACAATTTTTACTGACTCCCGTAGCTCATTAACTCTCATAAAGTCAATAACACCACCAACCCCCTTGTTTGTAAGATCCAGAACTGGTTGTTCTACCTGTCAACACGCCATAAAACAATTAAATTGTGCTGGGTGCCCAGCCATGTTGGAATCCCCGGCAATGAACAGGCAGATACACTAGCACGCCACGCTGCTATGTCCACATCATACCAACCACGCTTCTCACGTATCCCAGCCACGGATTATTACCCACACTTTAAGACCTTCTTGTATAAACGATGGCAATCTTTTTGGTCAAGCCTCCACACAAATAAATTACATTCTGTTAAACTATCAATCTCCTCCTGGTCAGCTCCATTTCATCGGAACAGACGTTGGGAGACTGCTCTCGCACCTTACACATTGGCCACACCCGTCTAACACACTCCTATTTGATGTCACAATCTGATCCACCCCTATGTTCCTTATGTAATGTTCCTCTTTCAATCGTACACATCCTATTGTCGTGCCCACGCTTTGAAGCAGCCCGTACCTCTGCTTTCCCCCACCTATCCTCCCTTCACCGACCTCCCAACCTATCAGACATCCTTACAGAATCCCACACTTTCTGCTTCAACAACCTGTTCTCTTTCCTCAAACGCATACATATCCTTTATCTAATCTAACACCCGACCTTAACTCTTTGACTCACCAATTCCTTTGCCCAACTTAGACAACTAATCACTAACTCAACCACCTTTCACTAACATTAACTATAGTGCTACATGACCTTAGATGTCTAGCACATTTATCTTGCTTTTAACCATTAACCATTAACCATTTAATACTCATACATATATATATATATATATATATATATATATATATATATATATATATATATATATACATATATATATTGTATATACATATTCATATACA